ATGTATAAAGTCTTTTCTTTATATAACTAACTCCTTAAGTCTCCGTGTTATCAAAGATGCCCTATTCTATATTTTCTATAAATTCCTATGTACTACAAATCAAGGCCACGCAGAGTGAATATCTGGTAATGATTTATTATATGGGAATGATGTGAATATGTTAACTGCACCCCCATCCGTCATTATTGTAACCTCCCAAAACTGTCCCTAGCAAGAGAAAGCAATAGCAATTCATTTTCTACTGGAAGTTAGTAGGCTTGATTCTTTGCAAATATCCAGTAAAGACAGGGAAGCAATGGTAGGTACACTGGACACACGAGCTTTAGTTCTTGCCATTCACTTGGTTTGACAATGCAGGGAGATTATCTGATGGTCAGGACGGGGGGAGCGGGGAGTATGATACCACGCAGACAGAGGCAGAGACGCTGTTAAACACCTGCAGTACACAGGGCAACCCCATAGCAAAGAGCAGCTCAGTCCAACTTGTCAAAATGCCATCAGCGCCTGAGAAGTCTGCTGGACAGCAGCGAGGGTTACGCGCTGCCGTTTCTGGCTGTGTGGGCCCTCTGCAGGGAGCCTAACCCAGTCTCTGCTCTTCTTTCTCTCAGCTGCTCCTGGCACAAGTTCCTAAGATGCATGCTTACCATCTTTCCCTTCCTGGAGTGGATGTGTTTATACCGATTCAAGGATTGGCTTTTTGGAGATTTACTTGCTGGCATAAGTGTTGGCATCGTGCAAGCTCCCCAAGGTAAGACAGGTGCAAAGCCTGCCCACCCAGAGACAGTCTGTCAGCTCTTAGCCACTTGCCCAGGGCGGACTCGTGCTGGACGAATAGAGAAACGCGTGAATTTCATTTGCATCCTTACTGGTTGTTCCCTGGCGGATTTCTAACCCTTCCGGGACGCATTCAAAAGTCTCTGTTTGATGTAGATGCTGGGCCACTTTGCAGAATAATCGCAGCACTTACTCTGGGTCATTTTTTTGGTTTCGCCGATCCCTTCACGCTTGTGGCTGCCGTAGACATCACTTGGCGTTGGTTTTTTCTTAGAAAAGCAGAGGCTAGGAAACAGGATGCTGGGATTTCTCCAGCAGGGGACAGCCAGGGGCCTTCCTCCTGTCTGCCCCTTGGCAGGTCAGATGTAAGACAACAAGAGCACACGGATAGAGGGCTGGGGATTTAGCTCAGCAGCAAAGCGCCTGCCTGGCAAGCGCAAGGTCGTGAGTTCGGTTCCCGGTACCGGAGAAAAACAAAAACAAAACAAAACAAAACAAAAAAAAAACATGGATAGGAGCGGGAGCTATAGCATCTGGGTTTTAGAAACCTCACTTCCCAAGCTGGAGTCAACACTCTTGTAACAGTACCCCGGGTGTCACTTCCAGAGCGCCGCAAGGACCGCATTCCCAGGTCTCCATGCTCCGCGAAGCCCAGAGCGCAGGCTGCCCACTGGATATTCGTCTTTCCCCCCAAGTCCTCCTGGTCCAGACAGAGCTTAGGAACTGGGATCATTTTTACCCTAAGCAGTTCTGCCTGGAGGCACAGCTGACATTCTGCTGTTACCAGGTCTCCAGGGGAACAGAGGAGAAGGTTAACCTGAAACCAAATCTGTCCCCAAAGAGAATGGGCTTTGTGTGTGTGTGTGTGTGTGTGTGTGTGTGTGGGGTGTGCTGATTAAATCCAGGGCCTTGTGCATACTCGGGAAGCACTCTGCCACTGAGCCACACCCCCACATAGTCTTTAAACACCCCCATTTCTCAGTTCTTCTGGGGCCCGCTTGTAGGATTAAAGCTGGTGGTGAGGCCGCTTGTGCCAGAAGGAAGCTGACCCGGTGGGCAAGTGATGGCTGAAATGCGGCTCTGGCATAGGGATGTTGATTGGGGAAATGGAATGGAATATTTACCTGTTTATAAATTGTTGTACAGCCGGGTATGGTGACGCACGCCTGTAATCCCCGCACTGAGGAGGCTGAGGCAGGAGGATTGTTGTGAGTTCGAGACCAGCCTGAGCTACAAAGTGAACTCAAGGCCAGCCTGAACTGCACAGCAAGACCCTTTCTCAAAAAGACCAAAAAAAAAAAAAAAAATTGTCGTACAGTAAATTTTACTTTTTTTTGATGTATAATTCCAGGAATTTTAACACATGTATGTAGTTGTGAAAATGAAGGGGGAAATTAAACATTTTAAATAAAAACCTGCCCAGGATGCCCACCAAGACCAAGTGGATATGTCCAGCAGGCCCGATAACAGGACATTCTTTCCTTTATGTAAACCCTGTCTTTACTGCCTTTGTGTAACTGATGGCCTTGCAATGCTTTTGTTTTTTGGGTTTTTTTTTTTTTTTCAGTCTTTTTTGAGATAGGGTCTCACTATGCAGTTCAGGCTGGCCTTGAGCTCACTTTGTAGCCCATACTAGTCTCAAACTTGCAACGATCCTCCTGCCTCAGCCTCCCAAGTGCTGGGGTTACAAGCATGTGCCACTGTGCCCGGCTACAATGTAACTTCAAATATAACAAGACACTTCTTCCTTTGTGTAACTCGTGCTTGTTTAACGGATGGCCTTGCAATGTAACTTGAGCTGTTTAAAATCCCTTAGCAACTCATGATGTCACCGAACACTCCAATCAAATGCGCCAAATCTGCCTTTGTACCTCCCAGCTTGTCCTCCCTATAAAAGTCCCAAAACTCCTCTGGACAGGGCCCTGACTCTTTGGAAAAGAGATAACAGTCAGGCCCACTGGTGTAATAAACTGCCTGCTAAACCTTCTTGGTGCCAATTCTTCCCATGTTTCATCTGTTTTCTGTAACAAAACCACCACCATACTGGATACAGGAAAATTCTGTCACCCCCACATCTCACCTGTGCTTTCACTTTATACTCACATCCTCCCTATACCTACCACACCTGGTACCACTGCTTTGGTCTCCAGTATTAGGGCTCTGGTTCTCTGAGAACGTCATGTAACAGATTCATATGTCATGCAACTCTGGAAAGCTGGCTTCCCTCATTCAGCATTACGCTTTCTTTTTTCTGGAGACAAGGTCGTGCCATGTAGTTCAGGCTGGTCTTGAACTCACTATATAGCCCAGGTTGGCCTAGAACTTGCAGCAATCCTCCTGCCTCAGCCTCTTAAGTGCTGGGAGTATAGGTGTGCACCACCACGCCCAGCCATTGTTTTGCTTTTGATATTCATGCAAACTGTATGTATCAATAGTTTGTTCCTTTTTAATTGCTGAGCACAACTACTTTAATCTGTTTTCCATAGATGTGTTATGTTTCACAATGAGATGGGGATGGTTAAATTAATTACCAGAACTATTACTAAACAAATTACTCAAAAAGCAATTAGGACACTGTGCTATTGCACAGGGAGACAATTAGGACAATGGAACAGAAAAGAGAGTGACGCATATATGAATCACGTAATTTGTATCAGATATGTCACTACAGAGACAGACTTTTTATTTATTTATTTATTTTTTTTTTTGGTACCAGGAATCGAACTCATGACCTCACGCTTGCCAGGCAGGCACTTGTGCCACTGAGCTATATCCCCGGCCAGAGACAGACTTTTTAATGATCAATAATGTGAAACATTTGGCTACAAATAAGGAAAAAATAGTTTAGATAGCTACCCTACAGCATGCACAAAAATGGGTTGTTGGTAGATTAAAGACCTAAATGTGAACAACAAAATAAAGAATTTTTAATAATAGAGGAGAGTATCTTTACCATCTTGAGGTTTTTAAACAAAACATAAAAAGCAGCTGGGCGAGGTGGCACACGCCTGGAATCCCAGCACTGGGGAGGCTGAGGCAGGAGGAGCATTGCGAGTTCGAGACCAGCCTGGGCTACAAAGTCAGCTCAAGGCCAGCCGGAACTGCATAGCGAGACCCTGTCTCAAAAAGACAAAAAAAAAAAAAAAAAAAAACCTTCAGTACTGTGAGAGCACAGCACTAAACCAAATGTGAGGCCCCCTAAACCCAAGACGCCGCGCGACCGCATAGGTCAGCACCTTGGAAGCCAGCCCCGGCGGCTGGTACCGAGCGCAACCAAGATGGCAGCCGCGGCACTTTTCCTTGGGGCGTGTTTGCCGAACACAGTTTACAGTTACCTTGGGGAGTGGGTATATGTGCACAGTCCCGCTTGTGTCTGTTTAAAATCCCCTTTCCCTTCCCTCCCTTCTCTGACTTCTCTCTCTCCATTTTCACTCTTGTTGACGTTATTAATCTCACTCGTGCTCATGGCGTCCAGCGTTTGCGTTTGTTGAGGTTAAGTTCCTGTGCATGGCATATCTCTAGTCTACTCACTCCCCCTTCCCCTCAGCCCTTGACCTTAGCCTCTTGGACCCCTTCCCACTTGCAGGCTATCCACCCCCCTGCCCCCTGCTATCCATCCTCTATTAATCTCTCTGTTCGTGCTTTGCCTTACTCAAATGAGAGATCACTGCCTCAGCTGCACCTCAGCTGGATCGCAGTAAGGTTCATGCTCCTATGAGAATCTTGCGCCGCTGCTTCTCTGGCAGGGGCCAGAGTTTGGGAAATAATGTAAGAAATGGGTAGGTAAATGCCTATTGGTTGGTGCCACCGACACACGGGGGTGGGGCTTCCATTGTCCACACCCAGAACTATGCTACACTGAATTATCACACACCCTTGATCCCAGTATCACACACCTTGTAATCCAACATCACACTAATCTAACATCACACACACATGGTCCAGCCACCTCCCAGAAGCTCCACCTATGACACATGAGGCTTTGAGAGGACATCCAAATACAAACCACGGCAGTTGCGAAAACAAACTATGGGGAGGATACCTAGAAGAAGGATGGCTGAGTCATTTGGAATTTCTAATTTTAGAACTTTGAGGGAATCTCCGTACTTGATGTCCATAATGGTTGTACTAGTTTACGTTCTAACCAACATATAAGGAAGTTCCTTTTCACCACAGCCTTGCCAACATTTGTATTTTTTTGATTTCTTGATGATTGCCATTCTTTCTGGAGTAAGATCAAGTCTTAGCATTGTTTTATTTCTTTTTTAGTTTAATTTTTTGTTTTCTTTTTGTCTTTTTGAGACAGATTCTCTACTATGCAGTTCAGGCTGGTCTTGAGCTCACTCGGTAGCCCAGGCTGGTCTCGAACTCACAGTGATCCTCCTGCCTCAGCCTCCCGAGTGCTGGGATTACAGGCATGTACCACCGTGCCCAGCAGGAAATTTCTATGTATTGCAAACATATAGTAATAAAAAAATAAACTAAAACAAATAATCCCTCTTCCCCAATCCATGGAAAAATTGTCTTCCACCAAAGAGTTCCTGGTTCCAAAAAAGGTGAGAGACTGCTATGCTACTGTACCACAACCACCCTTTACAAGATAATCAGGTGTATCAGAAAATGAAGTGGCTAATAAGAGTGCTGCAGATAAATTCAGAGTCATTTTTTAGAGAAATAGCTACAAATGAAACAAACACTGAAATATCTACAAATGAAATTATTTAATATCTTGGAATTGCTTCAAAATAAGATAGGGTGGGAGAGAAGCGGGCATGCATAAAACAAGACTGACACAGCACACCGCTGTTGAAGGCAGCAATGGGTCCGCAGGAGTTAAGTGTTGCAGTCAGGGTTTACAAGGAGTTAGATCTAGTACAGGACACATAATTTATAGGGTTACTTAATAATATTTACCCAAAAAGTGATATGCAGGAGAGTGCAAGCAATCTGTCCCTGCACTAGAGACCCCCAAAGCCCAGCTGAGGCCCCCAGCAATGTCCCCCATGAGTCTAGCTGGAGGCCTAGAGCCCACAACAATGTCTCATGTAAGTCTGCATCAAGGATCTGACTGGGCCAGGCATGGTGGTGCATGCCTGTAATCCCAGCACTTGGGAGGCTGAGGCAGGAGGATCGCTGTGAGTTCGAGACCAGCCTGGGCTACAAAGTGAGCTCAAGGCCGGGCTGAACTGCATAGCGAGACCCTGTTTCAAAAAGACAAAAT